GGTGAGGACCAGGGTTGAGAAACACTGGTAAAGAATTGTGCTGCATAAATCAAGAAAGCCAATGGTGGCATGTAAATTCAGCAGTGCTTTGCTTTCACAGATGGTGAGGATGTCTAACTTTTTGTGTCACTTAGAAAAGAAGCTCAAAGAAAGGTAAGCTCTGTTGATGTGATGTTAGCAAAGCTAGCTGTATAGAGACACATGTTGCATTTGTGATGAACAAAGTTGTCACTCACTACTGAATTATTGTGCGGAGGTGTTGACTGACTGGTTTCATATATGGCACAATGCTGTGTCCAAAAGTCTGCAATATAATGATGTGATATTCAGGAACAGTCCGGTTCTTCTGAACGGCTCTTTACTTAGAAAATAGGACTGGAGGGTCACTGGGAGCCGTTCTTTGTTCTTGTAATGCTTTGGGTACACTGCAGTAGCTATCATTATTTAATCATATGCATTGATATTTTTTTAATTAACGAATAAATAAAACACGAGAATGATAAAGCATGCACATTGCTCTATGATCGTTTTTGTTCAAAGTGGCAGCTGTCATGTCTGCCATGGTGTCAGACTACCTGGCCTCATGTAGCGGGAGAGAGGGTGAAAACAGTCACAGTGAGCGCCTTGTGCTTGGTTACTTCTTTGTTGCTCCCTGGTCAGTGTTCATAGTTGAGCGTTATTTACCGTCAGAGCATTGCCTCAATTGCTATGTTTAAAGGTGCAGACAGTGATGGTTTCTGACATGACTAATATGGGCGTTATTTTTTTAGGGATGGCACGAGACCACAGCAGATTGTAGCACTTCACTTTAATATTGGTAAAATTTATTAAGTATTTAATATCTAGGTGTTTTTATGGGAATATGGATCTTTCAGATTATTTTGAGAAGCAATTTCGATCATATTTTACATTTTATAGTATCATGTAGCGTGGGCCGCTGGTCTTGGTCTTGACTCGGTCTCGACTCCCTTCAGTCTTGGTCTTGACTTGGTCTCGGACCCTAAAAGTCTTGGTCTTGTCTCGGTCTCGATACACTCTGGTCTTGGTCTTGTCTTGGTCTCGGGTTAGGTGGTCTTGAACACAACACTGCTAAGCATGAATTCTTCCTGAGGCAACTGGTGGTCAATCTACACAAG